AAAAAAATGATTTCCATCATGACTAGCAGTAGAGCCCGGCGTTGCCCGGGGATGTAACAGTAAGAGATAGATCAAGTATAGACCACCATAAAGACTGAAAAATGAAATTGACAAAGATTATTATTTAAGGTTGACGGACACGCATGTCTTAATATTTTTTTTTTTTTTTACGAATTGGCCAAACCAAAACTCAAACAAAAACATTGTTTTCAATCGTTATGAGTCCATCGATTGAATAGAATTTTATTATAAACAATTGTTTTGTAAATGGAATTTTTAAAGCATTCTGAATGTAAAAATAAAGAAAAAAGTGTGCAAGACAATAAGAAACACTACCTGCCAAAAATGTGAAGTTTTGTTGAAATCGGTTGAAAAATGTAGGAAATCCGATCCCATATATAAACGAACACACACAAACAACCTGGGTTTTATGATAAGTATAACTCGTTGTCCCCCTTTCATTCTGGCGAATCGTGTTTTATCGTGTTTTCAAATTGATTTCGTTCAAAAAAAATTGTGTTTTCCTAATTTTTGGTGGTGTCAGAACCACCGCAAGGTAATTTTACGTAGTCCTGTGAAGTTTTGTTGAAATCGGTTGAAAAATGTAAGAAATCCGATCCAATATATAAACGTACACACACACACACAATCTGCGTTTTATAATAAGTAAGATAACAGATCTCATATTTAGAAAAATATGTCAATGCAACATGTTCAATAAGTGTCATTAGAAAATAAATTCATTTATCTTAGCTCTGCAGTAAACGATATGGTAAAAGATTGTATCAAATAAAACCTGGAAAAATATCAATAATAATAATAATCTGGAACAAGAAGAAACCTACAAATACGTAGAAGTCAGTGAAGGAGATGGAATACTGCATATCCAAATGAAGAAGAAATTAAAAAAAAACACAAAACATAGGCATGTGCGTCCAGTGTCTGGTGAGTTGATTTCACAAATCAAAATATGAATATTTTCTCTCTCCCTGTAGTGCAATACAATTTCAACATAATATGACATTAAGAGAATAGACGTGAAAAGGAGAAAACCTCTCACTTGCCACCGCATGCATCATTCTAATTTAGATGTTGATCCTCTTTATGTGTCCAGATCCAAAGGAGGCAGAGGATTAGTTCAATTAGAACTGTCTTACAAAACGACACAAATCGGTCTTGTTTTCAATACTTGGAAACTACAGAAGACTGGATGATGATCTGTGTCAAAGAACATGAAATAAAAAGAAATATTATTCGGTAATTTCAAACGGGTTAGTTTGCAACAGAAATCAAAAGAAATAATAATAATAATGATAATAATAATAATAATAATAATAATAATTTGAAGATATTCAAAAAGTTGTCAAAGTACAAGGACCTTGAAATAGAAATCGCGAAAATGTGGCATATGGGAACATCAACAATCCCTGTTCTAGTTTGAGCCCTAGGACTGGTTGGAAAAGATTCCAGTAGACTAATTGAAGGGATACCTGGAAGTCCATGCCTCAAGGAGATACAGAAAATTGTTCTGACAAGTACAGCCCACACCTTACGAAGGGCTTTATCTATGTAATCTTTTTTTTTTTTTTTTTTTTTGGTCTGTGGAAAGTGTCATGACGCCATTTCTAACCTTAGGTCCCTGGGCGGGACCCGGAAAGAAATGTGTAAACGTCAGAAATCAAAGAAAATAAAAATATAATAATAATAATAATAATAATAATAATAATAATAATAATAATTAAAACAATTGAGCATCCTGTATCAGGCTGCACGGTATTGGCATCCAATGAATATAAAACCCGGCTTGACAGAATGGGCCAATAACTGCACTGGAAAAACTATAACTTCTACATGAAGAAAACTGAAAGAAAGTGGTATGAACACAACCCAGATCCGGTTACGGTGATAGGGCCTGTTACAATTTTGTGGGATTATACAATACACACAGATAGAACAATCAAAGCTAACTGCCCAGAGATTGTTATTAGAGATCGCAAACAAAAATAGCGCATCCTTATTGATATGGCAGTACGTGCGGACTGCAATGTATCTTTGAAAATCTTAGAAAAAGATATCAGATTACAAGGACCTTCAAATCGAAATCTCAAAAGTGTAGCACATGGGAATATCAACAATCCCCGTTGTAGGTGGAGACTAATTGAATGGATTCCTGGAAGTCCATACCTCAAGGAGATACAAAAAATTGTTCTCAGGAGTACAGCCCACACTTTATGTGAAGAGATCGTCAGGCCACGAGTCTATATATATATTATTAGTGGAAAATGTCATGACAGCATCTCTAACATTAGACCCCTTAGCAGGACCAGGAAAGAAATGTGTACACATCAGAAATCAAAGGAAATAATAATAATAATAATAATAATAATAATAATAATAATAATAATGTTTCAGTAAATGATGATAATAGTAGTAATAATAATAATGTCGGTTGAGGAAATAATAATATTTTGATGTTAAGATTGGTAGAAATAACTATTTGGGGTCAAATTCTAGATTACTGTAGTAACATATAAGCAGCCATGATTTCCTATACAAGATACACTTGGATTTGAATTTAGTCTAGTTTAGAAAAATAAATGCAATTTATATGCCGATAAATATGATGGTAATAATAGAGTTGATAAACTACCCTCGTACATTAAATAACATTTCATTTCGAAAATCGCAAAGGAATAAACGAATTGACAAGAATATTCAAGAAGGACAAGTTCAAAAACCGAAACCTTGTGACAACAAAAAGATGATGACATTAGTACGGAAGTAAAAATTATATTTCCTTATCCAAGAAATTTTAGAAGTTTTCAAATATTACATAAAATATTCTTTATCTGGAAACAGTTAATGGTTAACACTATGTATTAACCCACTCCTAGCTAACAAGTGCACACACGCATCTATAAAGACAAAACACACACACGTACAAACTAATAGAATGGTAAGCGTACATGTTATAGAAATGGTAAACATGTGTCTGTGTGTGCGCCACTGTGCAATTCCTGTGATCTGTGCGACCTGTTGAGTGCTTTTCTGCGTATATGTATGCGTAGCGAGTGAGAACATTATTTTCTCCGATCTTAAAGTGTCCAGACTTCATAATCATACCATAAGGAGTTATTAATTCTTCTCAGTGAATTTTACTTATCGAATTTGGAAATAGCATACGACAGATTTAACTATCTCTTAGCTATCGTACGGCGCAATGCATTAGTGGAAATAAAAAAGGAAGACTTTGGTGTGCCAATCATTACAATTGTAAAGAGCCTGTCTTTGATGTCCACCAGTCTTTCGGTTTTATGTGACCAAGCAAAAAACAAAAACAAAAAAAAACAATCCCACAATCCCCAGATATACAGTTCCAAGAGTGATACTAAGGAGAGGAGATATTTTTCTTGCATATGACATCCCTTCAGGAAATGGTCGATCATGGCTCTCCACAAATTCCTATCCTTTATAGCCCTTACTAAAAATGTGCCTTTTTACCACACACACACACATAAATATATATATATATATATATATATATATATATATATATATATATATAAACCCTGCTCTACCAACCATTTACAAACGCTTGTTAGGTAGTTTTGGTTCTGTTTTCTTCTCTCCACTTTTTCATACGAATGTAAAATTTTCCAAGCTCAGTTTCCATATTAAGTGGCGTGGAAATTTCATCTTTCTTTCAGACATTATTTAAAAGTGGCGTTTGTGCTTCCATTTTTTTCTAAAATTTACTCGTTGCTCAAGATTTCAGTTCATCGTATTCTCGGTATTCCTCTATCGAACCCCATTTTTGCGCCTCAGATCTCGTCTCCATCTGTGACGACAGTGTTCTGCATTCATCGCAATATAGAAATGCCTAAGAATTCATTAAATACAGCAAAACAGAAAGGGTTATATATAGGATGTACTTTCGCGCCGGACTGAAAGTATTAGAAGTCTTACTAGGATTCATCATTGGCAGCAAAGATCGTAACAAAATTAGATATAATAAAATTCCCAGCGCAATTTATCTTATCCACAGAATTGCTCTGGAAATTTTATTATATTATCAACATGGTGACAAAAAAAAGTCTTTTAATATAAAGTAAGTTAGCATTAACCAGAAAGAGGCTTACGTAAAAGCGTTTTTTTTTTTTTTTTAAATTTGGATTTTAATGTAACTATGAAAACAAAAAACATTTCGCTTAAATTTTGATTTGATAACGTCGGAAGACGAAACGTGTCAGCAAAAACTAAGGCGTTTTTCCTATTATCATTTTTCTTCTGCCAAAATTAGATTAGTCAGATAACTCACTGTTGATAGCAGGAAGTGGAAGTGAACTTAAGGAAACTTTACAAAATGTAATACGTGAAAGCGAGAAGAAAGGACTAAGTACCAACTCTAAGAAGACAGAATGGATGTCACCAAAAGAACAACAGCCCAACATGAATTACAAATTGGCGTTAGCAAAATCAAAGCAAGTACTAACATCTAAAAACTCGGAAATCTTTTAACAGAGGTTGGAATATGTGACGAGGAAATTCGAAGAAAAATTAGGAAAGCAGAAGATGCTTTCCAAAAGTTAAGCATAGTATTAAGAAAAAGGAAATTACCTTAAATATTGCTTGAAGAGAAAGTTTTTAGAAATGTCAAAAGAAATTATCACTGGCTACACAGTATATGAAAGCCGAATATTTCCTTATAAAGATTGGGGAATATTACGACTTAGTTAAATTAATTTGTTGGGTGATTCGATTTTGTATTTAACTGAGAGGCAGAAAATAATTTTAGATTGTAAAAATATTATTTGAAGATAATAAAACATGTGAAACATGTCTTACTGATTAGCCCATAGCTGGGGGATAAAATATGTGTTTATATTTCCCAAAAGGGTATTTGCGTGTAAGGGAATGCAACAAACCCATCTGAAATTCGAACTCGGTTCTCCGATTAAAAATTCCGAGCCATTATTTATTAAACCAACTGCACATCCAAGCTTACAGCACTTGGTTTTCCCAAGCCGTCACCCATCTCGATAGTGACTAGGCTCCACGTCGACTTAACTTCGGTGATCGTACGGGAAACGATATTTCAACGTAGGCTTGTTTAATTCGGTAAAAATGTCGAAGGAGTGTTAAAGGTTCGTGTTTAGTTCCCTAAATTCTGCAACGTTTCGACTTGTTTTTCCTGTCATCTTCAGTAGTTTCTTTTTGTTTCTCGTCGTCAATTGGAAAATGATGACCGCCAATTGAATCAAATTCATCTCCGTTATGAAGTTTTTGGAAATCAATGGTGATTTACCCGTTTGGTGATGGAATCATTGACAATTGCTTGGTTGATATTGCGAGCCGTTTTCTCTGTCGTGTGTTAGATTTTGAACTTATCAAATACTATCGCTCGAATTTGCTTCAATTTTACGACCGAAAATAAATAATAGCTGGCACTGAAAAAGTACCAGCCTAACAGCGAAATGCGCACTATAGACTGAAATATAAAATGAACAGATTTGAATGATACTTTATTCCAAAAGCAACATCAATATTTATTAATTTAACTACTATAAAAGAGGGTATCTATAATGAAGGAAATGTAAACGCATTGCTCTTGTAAGTCATTGAAAATTAAGTGTAACTACTTGAAAAAGAAAAAAAAAAAAATTCTGTATGGTCAGGAAAAAATCTTTTAGAAAATATGCCCAAATATATTTCGACCAAAAATTGTCCACTTGCCAACAACATTTCTTCGGATGTTATTACCAAAGTAAGTTTTTCTGCATTGAGTTCCAAAGGCAGTAATTTAGTTAACTTTATACTTACATCATTTAGTACGGAAAAGGATGAGTTTTACGAAAGAACATTAAATTGGCGGATGGTTGAAATGAATGCCTTGGACTGAAATAGAATATTTGATCTTACATGAGAAAGACAGATAAATATTAAGTACGCAATAAATAATTATAAAATTGGGGAACATTGAAATGTATACGAACGTTTATAAATCATTTAAAAAATATTAAGCACGATATATATAGATGGGTACCGATCTAAAAATAACGTTTAAAGTTTTAAATTTTATGTTATTGTATGGATTAATATTATGAAAAAGATATTTCATGTTTGATTCTGTAGCAGTATAGCAACCGCCATTGGTTATTCATACCAAAATATAAAAATACAATGTTGTAATTTAATGGCTTCAACAAATTATATTTTGAAAACAACTGTATACCTTCGACAGATAAAATGTATTGTTGGTAAATCTGATACAAAATGCATTCTTGGTATTTTTTTTATATAAAAATGTATTGCTATGCTTTTTTCCTAGAAAAATGTTTTTTTTATACTATCATGGTGCTTTGTTTTTGCTTGGAAGTTCACTATTTACCCATAGATGGGGCTTTAACAGGTGCTACCACCCCGTGTAGGGGTGAAACTGAAAACAATAGCAATTGAATAGTGGTTCCACACTCCTCAAAACCCCAATCTACTGATCAAAGTTCTTGTTGCCGGATGTAGTTTATCTTCATACCTAGGTCATATATATATATATATATATATATATATATATATATATATATATATATATATATATATATATATATATAGAGGCCCAAACACTAATATTTTAATGGATATAATTTATCACATTGGAATCGTAATCACAATTCAATCCCTCAGATCTACAGATTTAAAAAGCTGATGAATTGGATCGTGATTACGATTTCAATGTAATAAATTATAACCATGGAATATTAGTATTTGAGCCTTTTATATTATATCCTTACTCCGTCCTGGACATTGAGTTCTACCTGGATTCTATCCTCTTGGTAATTATATATATATATATATATATATATATATATATATATATATATATATATATATATATATATTCAACTTCTTCTATTTCTGTACTACCAGTTTCGGGAACTGGACTCGCAATTACTATGTCATCAAATGAATGAACCAACTTTTTTTTTTTATTTTACAAGGCCATTTTCCTTGAGTGTTGAACTTGGAGCCTTAACCCTTCATATTTTTTTTCGATGCAGTTGAAATTTCTGTGGTACGTAATTAGGAAGGAGTGCTTGAATACCCTGATACTCATTGGACATTTTGGAAATGGGAGAGAAGAAAGCAGAGCGTAAAGTTTTTGATGAGCTTGAGGAAATTGATGGTAGCACAGGGTTTGCGGGAGATAACAAAAATGACAAAACTTCTATATGACAGGGAAATGTTTATGGCTATGATCGCCTTCGCCCAGAAGTCACAGGCTATATAGAATATGAAATTAAGTAGCAATAGCCCCTATAAATTGTTGTGTTACTTTATCATTGCATTTCTCTTAAGCAAAACATATGAAAGTCTAAGCAAATTCTGAATTAAGAGGCGAAATTTTCTTCTCTGTTCACGTAAAGAGAAGTATTGAAACATGCTTCTCGCTATCGGATGGTACCAAAAATGCGGAATCTTCACTGACAATTTTGACTCAAGTATGCCATTTTGGTACAACAGATAAAAGAAATAATTTGGTAAGTCACTAGAAGGTGGGTTATGCTACTATTTTAGTCGTGGACTGTAGAGTAGTCGGAGATATTCAGATGGAGAAGAATGCAGAAAATGGAGGGAGAAAGCAAAATATAAAAAAAATAATAAGGAGAATAACTGGCAGGCAAACGGGGGAAGAGCAGGCTGAAAAGGGTAAGGGAAAAAGATGAAAGGGAATACAAAAAAAGGAAAGACAAGGGTAGAAGAGGTGATAGTTGATTAATGTAATAGAAAGAAGAGAAAAAATTTGAATGAAGAGAAGCTGATGAAACAATAAAAAAAAAAAATATGTTAACTTGTTCTAAAAAGGCTGCTACTATTTTATTTATTTATTTATTTTTTTGGTGTGCGTATTTGAGAATATTGGCTCTGGCATTATTTCCATAGAAATAATAACACTTTTTTATAAGCATTTCACCCCAAGCAAGGCGGGAGTGCCACTAGCACGCAAGGTGTTAGAGAGAGTGGAAGAAAGCCTAAAGAGTCGTGATGAAGAAGAAAGGTGAAGAGAAGAACAGGGAATAGATTAAGTCATCTGAAGATGTCGATTGACATTTCACTTGAATAATTGAGGATTATAGCTAATAAGGAAGCAAGTAAAAGGAAGGGAATTCCACAGACGAGAAGTGCGAGACATGAAGCTATTGGAGTAGAAGAGACGGTTACATTTAACCGTTTCGACAGTGAAAGGGTAGGACCGAGATGCCAACCTAGTAGCACGTTTAAATTCATGAAGTCTGGGAACCAGCGAAAGTAGTTCATCAGAGCAGTTACAGTGAAATTAGATGTAGAAAAGACAGAAGGGAAGCGACGGCACGTCTGTGAGAGAACGACAGTTGACGAGATGCGAGATCACAACCAATCATATTGCATATACGTCTCTAGGTTTTGTCTGGGACCTTGATCCAGACCATATATGGCAGCAGTATTCAATGCAAGGGCGAACGGTTGATTTATAGACTTGAAGAATTTCTGGTGTGACACATAGAACCACCTATCTTTGTTGTAATAAGTATATTGGTAATATTAAATAATTAATAAAAATTAGGCGTTTAATATTATGAGAAACAATAAATAATGGAAAAGGAATTTGGTTTTTGCGATAATATTGGCAAGAACTATACCTTAATATTGAAATGATAAAGAATGGAAAGAGAAAAAGCTTTTGAAAGCTAAAACGTAAATACAAAAGAATGAGAATTATAAATTTAAGAAAGCCAATAAGGCTCAGCAGTTTTTGGCTTTCTTAAATTCGTAATAAAAAAAAGTTCCTCTCAGGATAAGATTAAATGAGGTTTATGAAATAGGTAGGGGGCGTAAATAGATTCACAGTGGCATCAAGGGCAGAATTGATCTGATGTATTTCTTTCATTTTCGTTTTTTTTTTCCTGACATCTCATTAGGACCGAGTGCGAAAAGTTCACAGGAATGCGTTACTTCACACAAGTTGCGAATTTCGTTTCAAGTTGAAATGGATCCAAAATATCTATATTGTTAGGACGAGGAGAAAACGGAAAGAAACTGAAATCGTGAATAAATTTATATAATGAAATGAGGAGATTAGCAAAAGAAAATCAAAGAACGGAATGATCTAGAAAGATTGAACAATAAATACGAACTAAATAGATAGATAGACAGACAGATTTCTGCCTTGGTTGGTTGTCTCCTAACGATGAAATACGTAATTAATTTTGGGACTCCCAAATAGATAGATAGATAGATAGATAGATAGATAGAAAAAATAATGTTATCACCATGAATATCATGAAATATAGGGTGAAACTGTGTGTGAGTGATAAAAATAGACGGAAATAGATATATAGATATGTGCAGAGTGGGGAATAACTAAATAGATAGATAGATAGATAGATAGATAGATAGATAAATAGATAGATAGATTTCGACCTTGATTAGTTGTCTCATAACGATGAAATACGTAATTGATTTTGGAACTCACAGATAGATATATCTAATGTTTCACTTCTGTTAAAGCTCGTCATATACTGAGATATAGTGGACAAAATAAAGAAATTCAGGTATTTGTTTGATTTTCACTGATTACATGTGCATTCGACCTTTTGAAGTTAGTATAATTTGTGGCGTTCCAAATTCAAGTAGAGATGATGGCGTCTGTCAGAAGTTTCAAGAAATTAACGGATTTCAAGCCTAACTGTAAAACTGTAAATATGGCTTTATGGAAGTGTATAATAACTCTAATCTCTCTTATATCAAGGATCAGTTGAAGACGTCGACATTAAGTCATGGGGAAACATTTGCTTCTGCAAATCGGCCTTCCTGGCGTAGGGCCATCGGAGTGGAGGCCCAGATTTTCTAGTCCAACCGTCAATAGGAAAAGGATCAGCGATGATCAGTCAGGTTAGCACCGACTCTCACAATGGCTCCCACCACTCACACTCCTATTTGACACCTGCTCACGACCCTTTAGGAGTAGCCTGGGATTGCACAGCCATCACAGCTACCGCCACCAGAGGGAAAAAAGGGAATATGGAGAGAGGGTGACGTTCTAGGATAATTAATATATTCTGGGAATGAAAGAATAAATACATTAAAGAACAGATTAGGGTATGGAGAGAGACTGAGAAAATTGGTATAATAATTGTCCAAGACAGTGTAAATCTCATTTTAAATGAAAGCTTTCATCGCTCATCTTACAGAGATTTCTACTTAAAAATTAGATGGACTAATATCAAATAACATATCTTTAAGAGAATATAATTTAGCATTAATGATAATAAAAGCCGTTCCTTATAAAGAAAAGTTCAACATTCATTGACCACGCAGCCATTACGACCGCCATTTGAAATTTATAAAATCTCTCTCTTAAAACATTTATATTAGAAAATAGATTTCACAAAACTATTGTTATTATATTTTCCAATATTTATTGGGCCTTTTTTCCCCGAACTATTTTTTGATGTAGGGTGGATCGTCAGCTTCTAGATTATGTTATTATTTTCTCTTCAAGTTACATGTGCCATTCATTTTAGTTGTTACAGTTGTTGAAAGTCCTCACCTGATAGGCTTCTGAAATTTCTTAGAGTTATCTGTGTTTCTGTAACGCCTATTCACAATATTCGAAGTAGAGTGGTTCTCGGTAATTGCTACAGGCTTGTAACGGGATTGGTATTAATGACATGAAATTAGAATGCATCAAACGAACATTGATAACAACAATAAAAAACTTGAGATATGTATTGACATAAATAACAAGAATTTGTATTTTCTTTTTGTCATGTGAATTACAGAATATTTTTATGGTGTGTGTATAAATATTCTCAGTGTCTCTTTTGTTTAAAAGTCAGTGCTTTGATTCCAAGAATTTCGTTCGTGAGGATGGCGATTAAATCGTCTGTTTTCGACCTTCACAGAGCGCTGGCTAGACGTATGTTTCTGTACTTCTACTGCTACTTATCTGACTACTGCTACGGGTACCCCAGTCTACTCTACTTTTCTGTACTCTACTGACTTTCTTGCGGTGGAAAGGTCGTTTTTATAATGATGGTTAGGATAATGAAATATGCTTCGTTTTATCATCTTATTTTTGAAATGATGAAATATTTAATCAATGACCTGTGAAAGTGCACAGCAGACATGTGATATACTCATTCAGTTTCGCACCATGCATGACATCCATACGAAAGTATCGATAGCTGTTGACAATATTTTTTGACTTACGATCATCCCCAGTCCTGGTTCTGCCATCTATTTAAATGTGATCGTAACTAAATTAATTTTTGTTTATCTCTATCTGTTTACCATTCAGTACGTCCTGTGGGTATCAAATTCATTACAACCTCGTTTATTATTACATATCCCAGAAATTCCAAAACTCTTTTCCAATCGGAAGCAAAAAACGTCTTTTCCTTCTCGTTGTCTCATAAACGTCAAAATTGTTGAAATTTTCCATCTGGGTTTTTTTTCCAGACTCCTTCTTTTGAACTACGTTTGCTACCACAAATATGCTGTTCATCTGTGAGAAAACTGGTCAGAATTCACTTCCACATAGGATTATTTAAGAAATTCAGTCGTCCAGGCGTTTGTATTAAAAATCCGGACGTTCAAATTTCCAACAATAATAAAATAAAAATAAAATAAAGAAAACATAAAATAACTGTGGTGGATAAAAATATATCGTAGGCAAAGATTCAATGGCCATCTTTGTTGTTGTTCTTGTTGTTTTTGTTTTAGCTGATTTGTTTGAAGTTTACCGACTGGACGTCAGCGAAGATTCACTGACCGTCCAAATTTGTTGCTTTCGTAGCCGATTTTTTTGAAGTCTCCCACTGGACGTCAGCGAAGATTCACTGACCGTCCAAATTTGTTGCTTTTGTAGCCGATTTGCTTGAAGTCTCCGACTGGACGTCAGCGAAGATTCACTAACCGTCCAACTTTGTTGCCCTTGTATCTGATTCGTTTGAAGTCACCGACTGGACGACAGCGAAGTTTCACTGACCATCCAAATCTGTTGCTACCGTAGCTTATTCATTTGAAGTCGCCGACACATGTTTCTTTCAGCATGCGTTCTGGCAAGAGAGTCATCTCTTTCCGGTTTGAAGAGAAACGCATCTCCGTTCATTGAAAATCGAAATCTGTGGGTTTTTATAAAAATTGTTAAAAGTATGTAGCCCCCACCAGAAAAATAGGATTTTAGTTTTCTCTGTTTGGTCAATTATTTCTCATAGTAATGTAAATTTTAAACCAATATACACTTTCATTTAAGCTGTGGGTTGAAAAATGGATAGAAAATAACGTCTGAAATTGTTTTAATATAGTATTTAAGTGGTTATTTAATTGTGTTGGAAATATGGCTTATATCCTGTAAGTATTTATATTGCATCGAAATCCAGCACTTAATACTCTACTTAGCTTTTGGAATGTATTTTTGCGTTATGTGTAGAAAATATTCCCAAATAATGATTTTCTTGTACGTACTTCATTTTCACTTTTTCAAATCGTAGCTAGAATTGGTAGCTGTTACTTTTGGTAACGACCATACTTTCTGTATTGATGGTTAACCCCCCCCCGCTTCGCATTCTTTTTAGGGATTTCTGAAATTTTTATGCCAGTAGTCATCAGTATGGTATCATCTGCGTATATCTTATTAATTATGAATACACCCGGTGGGATTTTCGGTTTTCTTAGGGTCGACTCGTGGCAAAGGTAAAATAAAACTCGTGAGAAGAATGCGACTTTTTATGAGTAAACGAGGAAACATTAAATAGAGAGTATGTAAATGTTTAGTGTTATTCTTTTTTTATATTTTGATCTGTAATCTTTGAAAAAAAAACTGCTTTAATACGTGTAGGAGGTACGTTGGAGTAATAGATAGAGGCTCAGACTGAGGAATCGGACAACCGAGTTCAAATTCCAGTCAAATCCATTACATTCACTTATAGATCCTTGGAAAAATTATGAATACTCTTCTTCTCGCTCCATGGGTAAAAAGCAGGGCGGACCGGATTCTACAGTCTTGAATAGCAACTGGTCTACCGTAATACAGAAAAGTATGTTCGTTACCAAGAGTGACAGCCCTCAATGCTAGCTACGATTTGAAAAAATGTAAAAATGAAGTACGTACAGTAAAATCATGCCTTGGATGGCAACTGGTCTGAAATGGCAACTTACTTCGGGAAAAAATCTGTTTCGTGTCATGAATCTTTCGGTACATTCGTATCATCTATCTTTCGATACATGATACGAGGCGAAGCGTGTATCATTGACTGACTGACTTTAATACGTGTTACTATAGAATTAATAGTTCAGATTAAAATAACAGACATCCATAGAGAGAATAGTTGTATAATTAATACTAACGTACACATGCTTAAAACGTGTCTCTCTTTTTTTCTTTTATTTTTTTTGACAGTAGGAGTAAACAGTTAAAATCCATTACCCACTCTTTACATTGTTGTGAAAAAAATCTAATTTCATTTGATCATTTTGTTGTAAGATGTAAATAGAGCGGTTCCTGTTGATGTGCTTCTGTTTAGTATTTCAGAAGTCAGCTCGATGTAGACGTAAGTGAAGGAGTAGAATCATTTTGCAAAGTGTTGATGCAGCGAATGTGAAATCTGCTGAAATTCACTGGAGCGTCTCGATGGCGATGAGGAATATGTGTTCAGTTTAAAGCGTCCTAAAGAAAAATGGTTGGCGTAATGAATGAGGCGAAAGGGAGCGGTTTCTATTGAAAGGCAGTAAAAAGTAAATAAGCACGTGGAACCGACAAGCATTTACATAATAAATTAAAGGAACATAATATCGATATAACAAATGAGAGGTCAAATAAAGTCACGTTTCATTTATGTTGGGCTTATTTGCATAATGTGGAATGCACACTAGTAAATGAAACGCTTTTATATTTTACGTGATAGTTGTATACATGTAGTAGCACACACACACAATCACTCACATACACTCTCTCACTCTCTCTTTCTTTCTCTCTCTCTCTCTCTCTCACACTCACACATACACAGGAGCGTGTGAGTGTGAGAGCGTGTGGGCGTGTGTTAGTAGGATATAGAATCCGAAGAGAAGTTTGCTAAATCAAAGTTTAAATCTGTTTTGTCGACTTGACGACGCCTTTCGCTTAAGTTAGAAAGGCACCCACGGATGAGAACGAATTAAATATCCGGTTGTATGTGTTTGTGCATGTATGTGTGTGCGTTTTCGCATGTGCACGTCTGTGTGTATGTTTGTGCTCTTGTATGTGTGCTCGTATGAGTATGCTTGTGTTTGTGTGTATATGGTCGTGTGTGCGTGTGATCGTGTGTGTGTGCTCTGTGCTCGTGGGGAGGGAGGTGAGCAGGTCAACCTTACATCATTAATATATTTCTGCTCGCCTGTCGTCCTTCGGTCGGAATGAAAGAATAGAATTGCGTGATATTTTTTCCCAAAGACTTTATTTTTATTTGTAATCCAGTTTGCCGACATTTTTATGCTTTATGTTATCCATAATGCGACGGAGACGATCCGACTCTGCTGGTGATAAGATTTTATGTTGTTGATGCTCCAGTTCAGTTTAACATATATGCATATATAAACGTTTGATCGAATGTGTCAGAGTAGGAAAACTTATAAATTATTAGGCCTATCTAATATTCATAGAGGTTTTCCTTTCGGGGGATGGGGGCTAAGAGAGTGCAGAAAATGTTCGTAGACATTTTCAAGAGTTTGAAAGTGGATAATGAATTGTCCGAAAGTTCTTCGGACAATAATCATTACGGCCAGTCTCATCGCTTTTTTTGTCCCCCACAAATTCACTTCAAAATGGAAAACGTTGCATAAACTTAACATAAATTGTAAATTTGTCCTTGTCTCTAACATTCATTGAAACATTCATAAAAGTAATGTTCCTGGCGAAATATACAAAATTATATAATAATATATATATATATATATATATATATATATATATATATATATATATATGTATGTATATATATATATGGTAAAATGGATATGAGTTTGTGACCCTAAGTTTCATGCTGATGCGCATTGTCTGATAATCGTATAAGCGTTAACGCAGGGTCACAATCATATCCATTCAATTAAATATTTTAGCTCTATCTCTGATACTAAACGCTTTCCAGTAAGCACCGCAAATATAAAATATATATATATATATATATATATATATATATATATATATATATATATATATTAGCATCTGAATTCTGCATCGACAAATTAGAATTACATATATAAATCAATATTCATGGTTTCTCAGGAAGGTTTGGCATCCGTTAATTTCTTGAAACTTCAAAGAGGCGCGTTGTATTTTCTTGAATTCGGAACGCCACGCATTAAACGAACGTTTGTCTAACGACTCGAATGCACGTGAAACATAATTAACCAATGAAAATCAAACAACGCAAAATTAAAAGTACTGGAATTTATTTATTCTTTTTGTCCATTTCTCATTCTCTGACAAAACTTTAATAAAGGCAAAATATTTTAGCGTGATAAACGTTCCCTATTGTGTATATATATATATATATATATATATATATATATATATATATATAACGCCCTTCAACAACATCATTTAGTAGTCCTCTACATTGTGTGGTTCTTGGGGTTATATTTGATGCAACCTAGTACATTGACATATCGACCAAGACTTCCAGTGGAACTCTTATATACGATCCATCGCTAAAAATGCTGGGGAAATAAGCCCTTCCCTGTGTGAATACAGCAAGTGGCTTACTGCTCTAGCTTTAGTCTACCTTTACAAGAGCAAGATTAAGCAGAAAACGGAGTACTGGTGACGTATGTGCCGGAGTTGAACAGTCTTCAGTTTCCATTTTCGATAGCGTCCAATTATTTTTCACGTTGCAATCCATTTCTCGCAGAAAAGACGTCGCAAGCCTCTCGCTTGCTTTCCATGGACAGCGTTCAGATGAACTACAGACCTTAGATCCACCAGTACTAACAGATGATTAGATGTAAGTTCCATTCAAGCAGGTTCTTCCCACAAACCACTGCTTTATGGAACCGACTTCAAGAGGTTGCTTCACCGATCACTACAATCTTGGTCTGTTCATGTCTACGGTTAACCGTTATATACTGCACATATTCGCATAAGCTGTGACTCTTAATCTGTAACGCTCTACTCTGAGTTGTCTTCGGGTCTTGCACAGGTCGAACACTTCTTTAAATAAAATATATTGAAAAAAAATACAGTGAATCCAAAACTATCCCAGTAGACCAGATATACAGTAGTGAATCCCAACTTCTATCGGTGATCTCCGCGTCTGGAGTATTGCGCTTATTGAGTAAACATTGTATAATGAATATATGAAGGGAAAATATGAACGAAGTACGTAAAATCAAATAATGATTCAGTTAACATAAACGTAATTGTTTTATGGAAAAAGAGAGCAAATACAATGTAAGGCTGTGTGAAATAATGTTAGAGTACTAAACACAATCTCCATGCTTTCAAATGAACTGCTGCTCAATTAAATAAAGAAATATATTTTATATAAAAAATGAAGCAAATCCAAGACGACATGAGCAGATTGAAAAACATAATAGGATAGAGAAAAATTACGATAGATAAAAATTGACTTACAGACTGCTATATAAAAGATAGACATAAATTGACTTAGTGACTGCTATATAAAAGATAGACATAAATTGACTTAGAGACTGCTATATAAAAGATAGACATAAATTGACTTAGAGACTGCTATATAAAAGATAGACATAAATTGAATTTGATAGACAGATAAATAGATACGTAATAAGAGACTGAGATAGACGGACAGATAAATATAAACAAAATTGAAATAGATAAATATATATGAATAGGCTGGGACAGATAGATAGATAGATAGATAGATAGAGATAGAGAGAGAGAGAGAGAGAGAGAGGAGAAAGAGATTTTTAACATACAGATACGGACAGTCATACATAGATATAAAAATGAGATTGAGATACACAGTTAGAGAGAGAGAGAGAGAGAGAGAGAGAGCGAGAGAGAGAGGAGAGAGAGATGAATATACTGAACCGGGCGGACATATAGATCCATATGAAAAGACTGATAAATAGATATCATCAGACCAATATATATATATATATATATATATATATATATATATATATATAAAGCAAGTGTAAATGGATATAAATCCGACAGAATGAAGAAATTTTGAAAAAACAAACAAAAATCCTTAAATGTAGTTAAAATTTTAACTACATTTAAGGATTTTTGTTTGTTTTTTCAAAATTTCTTCATATATATATATATATATGATATACGGATAGATAGAGAGATAGATAGATAGATAGATAGATAGATGGTAAAATAGAAATAAAAATTCATTATGTCAATACGACTGCTTTTACTGCATAAGTAATATCACCAACAATTTCAAAAATAAAAAAAATTGTACTACTATAAATCATATTAATGAAGAAAGCAATG